CCAAGTGACTGCTAGGGCTTACGTGGCATAGTGAAGACTGGAACGTGGTCTTTGCCCTAATTCAATTGTCTTGTGGTCACCGGAAAGTGGGTTTGACCTGCTCTTTTGGAAGTGGGCAGCTGGTTGGTGACGTCTCCCCGCGGAGGGGAGCACGTGCAGAACGCGTGAAGGGCACGTTTGTTCTGCTCGACAGGGGAGAAGGTCCTGCCCGCGGAGGGTATTCTTTGTCCGACGGGGGACCTTGTGCTCGACGGCAGTAGCCCAAGCCAGATTGGGCCTACTGCACATTATTGGGCTGGGCCTACTCGGTCAAGCCAGGGCCCAGGCCAGAACAGTTTCCCTGTGGTAATCAACTCTAAAATCATCTCTCAAGCTATAAACTGTAACAAATATGGAGTTATTGTTGAGATCTACAGACATAACAACAGATATGCAAATCATATGCATATCATCTATGAAAATAAAGGCCCTACCAAAAGTCCTTATACTCTTATTCCTATGGCAAAAGTCTGGTACCAAATCATGAGAACCAATCTAAGGCCTAGAAAAAAGGGGACATGATGGCTTTCTTCTGATGACAAACACTTTATTTTGTTTCTAGTCTCCAGAACTAAGATCAAATATCTGAAAAAAGATATACTTGTATCTCGTGAGGAATTATTCTTTCTCATTCCTTTTAGAAGGGTTCTTTCTATGATTCTTATTCAACGGGGTGTTGTTACTCATGTATAACAAACTGGGTTGACTGATAAACTTGTTCTTGACTCGTGTCTATCTATGAATTATTCTGAAACCATTATTAATCGCTGAAGTTCCTTTCTTTCCTGCCTTTTTAAGTGATGTCAAAAGAGGGGAATGGATTAAGTATTCTTCTAGATTAATTTTGGATCTGAATAAGATTGGTGATCCTATTTAGGGGGAGATTACAAACCTCACTCTTGAAATGGATTCATTATTCTATATAGGGGAAGCTTACAAACCTCACCTCTTAGACTTCACAGATAGGACTCAGGGGGAGCTTACAAACCTCTCCTTTAAGACTATTTGACACAGGGGGAGCTTTACAAACCTCAGACCCTGGAAGTTGTTGAGTAATTAATCTACTACTGATTATTTTTAAATACTTAAAGTTGCCATTATCAAAAAGGGGGAGATTGTTGACACAAGTTTGGTTAATACCAGGTATCCTCTAAAGTTTTGATGATGGAAAAGTATTTGAAAAACAATTAGGATTTCAAACTAGCTAGTTTGTGTGTCTTTATTTAGTTGGTAAAACTGATTCTGACATAGAAACGACTTTGGTTCCGTTTTGGTCATACACTAATGAGAGAGTCTGATCAGAAAGCAGATGCTAGTACACTTCAGAATTAGAAGTATGCTATGGTTGCCTTTGAGACTGAGTAGTGTCAACTTAGTTCTGCTAATAGGGGACTCGAGATATATTGACATTATCTTCAACATATTATGTTGTACCTGAATCATAGATATGTCCTCTGGATAAAGGCCTTGTTCTGTGGATATTTTCTTGACTGAAAGTTCGAACACCTACTTTATTGGAAAATAAGATGTACTAGAACATTTGACCTGATTATAGTCGTTGTGGATGCTCCAATGACTATATTTCTTAAGCTATATAAGGAGTAGAAGATTTGAAGATCAAATTAAGAAATAAAGCTGCAACTACAACTGAGAAATACACACACTGCATACTAGAAGAAAAATCTGTTAAGAGTTCTTATTCTTGTATAACTTAAGAATCCTTTTTAAAAGTGTGGTGTATTTTATTTGAACACCTTTGATTTTTAATCAAGTGTTGTTGTAAGTTATTCCTTCTCAAAGCATTTTAGTTTAGATAAAAGTCTCTTGTTGTAGGCTTGAGCAGGAAAGTCTTAGTCAGTGTGTCTGAGCAGGAAAGTCTTGGATTGAGGATCTGAGCAAGAAAGTCTTAGACAGTGTGTCTGAGAAGGAAAGTCTTGGATTGAGGATCTGAACAGGAAAGTCTTAGACAGCGTGTATGAGCAGAAAATTCTTAGATTGAAGATCTGAGTAGGAAAGGCTTAGGCAGTGGGTCTAACAGAAAAGCCTTAAACCAGGTGGTTTGAGCAAGAAAAGTCTTGGGATTTGAGGATCTAAGCAGGAAGTCTTGATCAGATGTTGATTAAGCAGGAAAGTCTTAGACTGAAGGTCTAAGCAAGGACAGTCTTATACGTGTGTGTACAATCAAGTGTAATCAGATTGATTTTAGTGGAAAATATCTTGCGAAGCAAGGGGGCTGAAGTACTCTCAGCTAGGAGACGAACCAGGATAACTGTTGTGTGTCCTTTGTTGTTTTGCTTTACTTTTGTTTCATTTTCCGCTGCATTATTTATCAGAGTATGAACTCAGGTTTAGAATCTGAACTCTAGTTCAGAAGTAAAACTATTTTTACAAACATAATTCAACGCCCTCTTCTTGTGTATTTTTCTCACATTCACAAAGGACGCAGGGGACGGTTATGAAAACAGACATTATGACTGGAGAGTTACAATCATTGAAGAGACAGATGTTATAAGAGCAATTATGGAGGCGACGAATGTTACAAGGAGATGTATCAGTAAGTGGACCTATAAATAAGAACACTTAAGAAAAAGAAAAGGGACACAACAGTCACACAACAAATAAACACGTGAAACCATTCATCTAAGACTCTCTTCGAGCAATAATGAAGAAGTCAACCTTCTAGTGTTTAGTTAGAACACTACTAAACTAGAAGTTTGTACGACTACATTAGGAAATTCTTTTTCATCAAACATGACATAGATAGTCTTCCATCTGCTCACTAGAAATTAAGTGTTCCATTAAAAACATTTGTATTACCAAATTTGAATTATTGAACCCTGTTTTTTTCCACAATATTATGCTTTTTTATAATATTTAAAGAGACATCGATTGAGATCAAAATGATTTTTATTTTTCGTAGGCTCTAATTTAATTTGTTAATTCATATTGACTTATATAGGACCAATAAGATGTTGCAATGCTTAAGGTTAACTTTGGAATTTTTCATAAAATTGTATATCCTTAAATGACCCAGTAACCAAATTGATTCATTTTTAAAAATCCATTCTATTTTTTTTTGTAAAAATCGAACCCGACACATCTAAGCCCAAAACATATCGAATACCATTTTAGATTAGGTTTTGTTAACCAGTTCCATATTTTCCCTCAACTTCTCTTGCCTTCAGGCTCAACCGCCTCTGTATGAAATTCCTACTTTCATCATATCTACGTTCATGTGAAATACTGATGAAGGTTTTGTAGATATTCATTCATAATGACAAATATTTAAAAGATTTATTCTCAAGATCTGGCTTTCTCCTTAGAAGAAAATTTTAGATATAGATCTATATGAAGATTCTAGAAATTTGATTTTTGCTCATCTCGTCCTTTCGATTTAGTGTTGTTGCATTAGATGTCGATTTCAACACTTGTTTTATGATTTTATTAATTAATATTATTAGCAGCAGTGGTGTCATTTGTGTTAGCAGTCACAACTAGATAGGTGTTTAGTATTTACTTTTGCAGAATTATTACGATTCTGGTCTTAAGATTTAGACTCTCACACTACCACCATAACTATAATAGAAGGAATAATAAAGGATCAGATGCCTCAATTAAATCTTTCTAGCAATTCTTATAAAACCCGATATATGTGGTGGAGACCAAGTCCAAGATCACCAGGTACGCATATACCTATTACTCTATAACTGTGCCTATTACTCTATAACTGCCTTTTTTAATTGAAATTATGTCATTTATTGATTTATAGCATATTTACAAGAGTTAGTGAATAATGTAAAATTTAGTAGATTCTTCTTAATAATACAATTTTTATTGTAAGAAATTTTGCAAACATTGTGGCCAGTTGTGATTAACTTTTGGTTGAACTTTTAAGAATGTGCATTGAAATTATTTAAATGATTATGTCCTTTATGTATTTTACCATTGCTCGTTGAAATTATTGTGTCCTAATTATGTTGGACTGTGGTTTAATGTATGTCTCTTAAACTCAAAAGTGTAGGAAATTAAAATTGGTGCTAGTTTTGTGAAATGTAGTAGTCTACAAATCATGAAAAACACATAATTAGTGAAAAATTAGATGCGTGCGTGATGATCTAATAGCATAAAAAGTTGTCAAAATAAAAAATTGTAGATGTGTGGTGTGATTGTTAGGCATCCAACACACATAAAATGTACTAGATTACATATACTTGCTACAGTAATTCATTATGTGTTAAGTCTTATTAATCTAAATCTCATTTATTAGTTTTCTAAACTTGATTGACAAATTAGATTCATGATATCATTTAAGAAAAGTTCTTACAAAATCCTTCTTAAATATATATCAAAAATTTTGAAATGTGTGAAAAATCGTTGAACAACTTTGAGTCTTTTGAACCATTTGCTTAATCTAGTATATTAATTAGACTAATGGATAACTTTATTTACGCAATATAAGATTTTCTCTTACACTCTTCCTGAAAGTTAGTGTTTATATCTTAGAAAAAAGAAATCTGAAAGTTAGTGTTTATATCTAGTACATTAATTAGATTAATGGATAGCTTTATTTATCCAATGTAGTTGTGTTTTCACATAATCAGTAGCTTTATTTATCCAATATAGTTGTGTTTTCGCATAATCAACAATCAAGATTTTATAATCAAGATTTTATAAGTCGTTTGATTTTGATCTCATGATTAGAAAGAAAATAGATATTTATAATTTCAAAAATATGACAAGTAAACCAAGACCGTTGGATGTAAATATTTTAAACATAATAACAGTTTAGTTCTTTGAAGACGCTATGACCTTTGTCTTCGCGCTTCATTCTCAATTTCAATAATTTTCAACTTCACCCTTTTCTCATCATTTTCACAAAAACCAAATTCATAAATCGATTTACCAAAAAATAAAAACCTCAAGTTAACACATCAACTCTGCTCTTATAAACCCTAACAGAGATGGAGCTTGAAGAAAACTCTGATAATGATGGTGGCCGCATCAACTTATCCAATCTTGCACCGGTCGCACCCGACCAATCCGGCGATGGTTTACCTTATGCGCCAGAAAATTTTCCGAATCCCGGCGACATTTGGCGGTGGAAAGCCGGCAGGAGGATTTCATCCAACGGTAACTTTCGGGACCGGCATCTATATCTTCCTCGTCGTCTTGCTGCCTCTTACCGCGGTGGATTTAAAAGCAAGCTTGCGGTTGAACGCTACGTCAAAGAATTCTTCCCTGACGCTAATGTTGTTGATTTCTTCGCTTCTTTCAGCTGGTCAATTCCTTCTGGTCTTCCTGGTATGTCTCTTTTTGTTTTTCATCATATATATACTGTTAATTTAATCGCGTCATTCTGAATATCAAAGGGCTTTTGAGTGTTCAAACTTGTTATTTACAATAACAGTCTGTGTTATCATGAATACCGCGGCAACAAAAAGGTATCGCACTTTCCGATACCATGTGAAGAATGGTTCAGTATCAGCATCTTCCGTTATTATTCACAGTTTTGATGATAATGAACAGATTGTGATTAGTTCATACCACAGTCACTGTTTGAAATGTTGTAAAGCTTTTTTGCACCTTTGGTCTAGATGATTATACACGGTTGTTCTGCATTGTAGGCAATATGAATCCTGTACCTGCTGATGGACTTCTTCATCAGTTAGAATTAAAGGAGCAGCCTGAATCTGATTCAGACATTGGTGGATGCAAAGCTGGGAATAAGACCTGCACCAGTTTGATTTTGGATCAAGAAAAAGAAAATTCACCTCTTGCACCGTGTGATATCTGTTGCGTTGAATCAAAGTTTTGCCGCGAATGTTGCTGCATTCTCTGTTACAAAACAGTTGATTCAGCTTATGGCGGCTATAGTTATATCATGTGCAAAGTAAATCTAGGCGGTAACATTTGCGGCCATGTCTGTCATCTGGAATGCGCTCTTCGATCTTATTCGGCTGGAACTGTTGGAGGAACGATTGGATTGGATGCTGAGTATTTTTGTTGGCGCTGTGATGGGAGGACTGAACTGATTCCTCATGCTAATAAGCTTCTGCAGACATGTGAAGAAGCTACTGATACAGATGATGTTGATGTGAAAGAAAAAATTCTAAAGCTTGGCATTTGTCTCTTGCGCGGTTCAGAGAAAGCCGCTGCAAATGAGCTTCTGAGCCGTATTACGTCAGCCATATTAAAGGTATTGTTTGGTTAATTTCTTGCTTTTTCTCTAATAAATCATAAAAGAATCATGATGAATTTCGTCTTTTACTTCAGCTTAAACATGGGACTAATACTGAAGATATCTTGAACGTTGATGCCAAAATTACCGCTAATTCTTCAGGTAAATGTTCTATTAATATTACTTATGAAGTGTATATAAAAATGCTGAAAAGAATACGATTAACTGTTGAATATATTTTTGTTTACCAACAGGTTCTTCCGGTTACGGCAAGGCTGCGATGGAAACTACAGATGACGAAAGTCCTTTAAAGCATTTAAATGTTCAAAAAGGAACAAAATCATTTCGTTATCAATCCGAGTTATCAAAACTTGATGCTGACTTTGATAAGGCTATGGAGGATCTTGAAAAATCTCAAAAGTTTGAATATAAGCTGGCAGAGGAAAGCCTTCATACACATAAGGAATATTTACTAAATATTTCTCAGCAACTCGATAACGAGAAGTCCGAGTTAGCAGGGCAATCCAGCACATCTGGTTCAAGTGTATTGCTTCAAACTATTGAGAGAAAAAACGAACAGCTGAGGCAGGAACTGAAGAAATTTGAAGAAATGAAGAAGATAGCTGATGGTTTTGGCAGCACATCCAAAGAAATTTTAGAAAAGCACTTTGGCTTGTAAATTGCATTCTAAAATGAAAGGTTTATCGAGATTTCAGACAAGGGTTGAATAAATTGCCTAGGGGCCATGGCAAAGGTTTTACTGCCATATAATAAGTAGGAAATAATTCCTACAAAAACAGCCTCATTTGATTTATTTTAGTTGCAATGGAATGTTTTTTGAGACTCAACTTCACTATTTATACCACCAAGTCTCTATCTGATATAGGCTCTTAAAGTTGTGGTGGTTGTAACATGTATGAATTTGGCCGTACTTTATATATTTATCAAGTGAATACTATCAGAACAAAACTTATGATTTAGTTCTTAAAAGTTGTGGTGGTTGTAACAACCACAATTTTCAAATTCTTCTCAATAAGTGAGTATCAATGTCCTTAAACTAGAACTGACATATTCATTAATGTGATACATAGTTCGCCCTTCAAACTCCCTTCCATTCTTTCCAAGTAGTTCAAACATGACACTATTAGTGTCTTTGCTAAGTAGAAACAGTTTTCCCTTGGTTTCTTACCATTATGATCATCGATTTCGTGCACTAGTAAACTCTAATACATTTAAAAGGTTACAGGACCTGAAAAAGTGAAATCAAATAACATTTTTAGTGCATAACTCATGTTTTATTTGCAGCTATACATAGGAGACATGAAAAACTTTAGCTTTTTATAAATAAGAACAATAACCATACTAGACTCATAACTTTAAATAGGCATATTACCACTCTTCCTATCTATGAAGAAAAGCAGTCTTCCTATTTCCATGACTTCGCTGAAGAGTTAGGGGGATATTGATTCATGCCAACAGTTCAACCGATGAATTGTGGCTACAAATATTCCAACCTCTAGGGTATACGGGGAGATTCATTATTCATCACACTCAAACTTTCTTGAATTCTCTCACAAAAGAGAGTTCACCATATTATTTTATTTTTCACGAGTATAATGGGCGTCTAGGGCTGGCAATGAACCAAACCAACTCGAAGATAGTTCGGAATTCGACTCGACAATTAAATCGTTGAACTAGGTTCATGAACCAAATGAGTTGAGTATGAGCGAAAAATTAAGTTCGTTAACTAAATGAGCTGAACTTGAACTATACATAGTTCGACTCGTTAGGTTCATGAGTCAACTTGATTACATATGAAAAGAATTATACTGTCCTTAAGATTAGGTTTAAATATTTACTTCAAATCTTAGACAAATTTAATCTTCAATTTATTAGTTTTTGAATTAGACTCTCAAATGTATCTCTTGAAAGTTGTGTAGGTTTTGAATTAGTAGATTTCGAAGATAAAGTTAAATTTCAATATGATAACTTTTATTTTATTTTAATATTTTATTTAAAAATATATATATTTATTTAAAATGTCAAATATACTAAAAAATATATATATTTAAAAAAATAGTTTTTAAGTTCGTGAACCATGTGAGCTGAACCTAATGAGATGAACCTAACGAGTCGAACCGAACTGTTCGTGAACTTATAACGAGTCGAGTTTGAGCTTAAAAAAAAGTTCGTGTCGAACTCGAACTCGAACTCGAATTCGAACAATTCTTAACGAGTCGAGCCGAGCTGAGGTGAGTTCGACTCGACTCGACTCATTTCCAGCCCTATGGGCGTCTATTGTGAGACTAGTGTAAAATTGACTCGGACCTCAAGTTTATTGCGGGTGAAAAGGGAGACGACGACGATGACTATGAAGAGTAGAAAGACGACTTGTTTTCTTTCTCTTGAGTTCGGAAACTCGGTGTCGGTGGTTCTCATCTGCATTAGTAATTTGGCGACCTAATCCTCTAACTCCCAAATGCAAAATGCTCCTCTTTTAGGTTCACGTAGCTAGGAGTGGAAAATTGACATGTCCGTCTCGTTAAGGCCTGTCGTGCAAAAATATGTAGCCGTACCTTCAACTATGTCTGCCATGCAAATAAATAGAGGCACAGTGGGGCCTTGTAGCTCTAAAGTCAACAAGTTGCAAAAGTTTATGTTAATGCTCGCACCTACAAAAACAAAGCGTGGCAGTCATATTGTTAATGTAAGTCTTACGGTCCAATATTTTTATTAGAATTTAATACTTGTATTGAATTCTGTATTAATAATAAAAGATATTCTTTGTTATGTTTGTTTTTCTAAAATAATAAATTCTTTAGAATAGGTAGTCTTTAATGAAACATTAAGTGTGGTATTATCATGAGATCTCATTAAATATAAGGACATTACTTTTAAAGTATCCATAGTCAAGTCTTATTTTGAAATAAGAAAACATTAAATCATTAAGACTATTATGTGAATATATTAATGATCACATCTTATGGATCATGGATAATGAGTTATCATGTCATCATATATGTATGAGTATTAAGAGTATTATTTATATTAGATTGAGCCACCATGAGAATACTAAATAAAATGTTATGTAAATGATGTTAGTGCTATAATAAATGTACTGATTTATAATTTAGGGTCAAAATTGGGGTATGACAGTTGCCCTTATTTAAGTATATTCGACCAGAAAATATAAAGAAGGTTATTCTTCATATGATCGCGGTAGGAGATAGTTAAATATTTAAAAAAGACCTGAATTTTGTCCCTGAATGCAGATGAAATGATATGATATGCTATGAATGCATGAAGGACTTTTTTTTAGTGTGTCGGGGGATATGATGAGCCATAACATGATTTTTTATGATGGATGATAAACAAACTTGTGGGAATGATGAAAATATGCGGTATTGGTGATCCACGAAAAATGATAATGAGGGTGAAGACTCGCCGGAGATAATAACATATCAACTCGGGGGTTTGAGAAAATAAATATAATATCGACTTGGGGGTCGAGAACAAGTCAAGACAAACAAATCAACTCGGGGGTTGAAGAAACATTAAGATAAAACATACATCAACTCAGGGGTTAAAGAAACATCAAGATAAAACAAACATCAACTCTTGGGTTGAAAGATATTTAAAGACAACAACATCAACTCAAGGGTTAAGAACATATCAACTCGGGAGTTGAGAACACATCAACTTGGAGTTGAGGAAATAAAGACAACACCGACTCAGGGATCGAAAACATAAAGACAATAACATCAACTTAGAGGCCGAAAACAAATTAACTCGGAGGTTGAGGAAACAATAAAACAACATCGACTCAGGGGTCGAGAAAATCAAGAAAAACACCAACTCAGGGGTTGATAGGCATTGATAGTTGGTTGTGACAACATCCCAGAAAGTACTCCTTCAGGACAAAATTTACTAGAGAAAACTCTACAAAGAAAAAGTTCTAAGCAAGACTTCTGCTTGGGGTGCAAAATCAACAAACATGCTGGAAAATATTCATCATTAGAAGGTTGGTGGAAAATATGCACTGGAAAAAATTTCAAGAGACGATAGACTTTAAAAGGCAGAATGCCAGGCGATGTTGGACTTTGAAACGAAATTCCAGACAAGACTAGACTTTACCAAAGGCATCAGTAAGACAATTACCGGCTACAATATCGTTTTCCAAACAACACTGCACTTTTGAGGTTGAGGGATATAGGATCAACCAAAGAGACCAGGCCTAATGAAATTTGATCTCGAATTATACTTCGGTTACGCATGATTTGAATTTTCTTTTATGCATGATGTATGAATGATCGTGATATGCAAATACTGATGCTATACAAATTGGGAGTTTTACAAAGGCTGCCTATGGATGTTTTGATTCCTTAACACCAAGGAATCAAACAAGTATTCTTTGGTAGATGTAATCCAAAGGAAACTTTATCAAGCTTGATAGTTATACTGGCCAAGGGTCCTTTCAGAGGACTGATGGGTTATGCTAGCACGATTTCCCGATACCCATTTTGAAATTAACAGTTGTTGATGCATGGCATGTGTAACACTGAAAATTTGGAGATTAAGTTATTGGTTAACTTAACTCACAAAATAAAGATTCGCTACCGTACTTTATTGTTTCCAAAAGAAGGGGAAAAGAGCGAATAAAACATACAGAAGTTTTAAAACAAAACTAATAAAACAAAGAGACCAGGGTAAATTGGTTGATTATGCAATAGGAAGGTGTTAGCACCTAAAACATCTATAGTACTCTATAGGAACCTCTTGAAAATCCACGTTTGGCTTAAAACTGTTTGTTTGCAAAAAATTGAGGAGATGAGAAGAGAAATACTTTTTAAGATTTTGGTGTTTGAAAAGACTTCCCGAGTCTTGTGCCTACGTACCCACAAAGTGCAATGGAGGATCAAAACCTCATAGTTCATGATAAAAATAACAAAAATGTTTATTTTGATTGATTTTAAATGAATAGACACTCCGTCATATTCGAGTGGAAACTTAACTTACTACCCACAATTAATGAGGAAGGAGCATTTGTATCATCTTAAGATGGAGTGTTGCATACTGCGAAATAGGCCGACAGAAACAAACAGAAGAGTTGCCACCGAACATTTTTTATCCCAAAGAGAGGGAAATTAAACGATCAAAGAAAACCTAAAATAAAGGAATAAGACAAAGTTCTCACAACTAAATCTTGGGTTCGAGAGTCGGTTACGCAAGGGGAAGGTATTAGCACTCCTCACATCTGTTGTACTCAATAGGATCTATGCTTGTTATCTAATCAAAGGGTGTGTTTATCTATAAGCTACTGCTAAACGGAAACGGAAACAAAGGAAAAGAAAGTGACTCGATAGGACATCGTCGCCCTATGCCTACGTATTCCCTCGTGCAATGGGAAAGTCAGAGTCAACGTAGTTCGGAAAACTATGGGTGATGGGAGGAAGATTGCTCGCCAAGACATTGTCGTCTTGTGCCTACTTATCCTCATCTGATATGAGAAATCAGAGCAAGTGTAGTTCGGGTAACTAGACCACTGGTTGGTTAAGTGTTTTTTATAAGCGACGTTAAGTTCCCATTCCAGCAGTTAGGGTCGATGCCTGTTTGCGGTAGAACGGAAAAATAACGTACTCTTTTTTGAAAATGACTTTGAAACAAATCCTGAAGGATAAA